TCTCAAACCAAACAAACAAAACAGGAGTACAGTTCTTTGGGAGAATTGGTCTTACCTTAAGGGATTTTCTATTGCTCTGTAGTATACATATATCTTCCAGGGTTGGCAAGTTCATGCCCATCTTGAAAATACAGAGACTGTAGCAACCTATAGGAACCTTGTCCCTGAATCATGGCAATGAAACAAGCTACGCAGAAGACAGTGAGCTCTATGAGAATAGAGCTGTTAGCATTCACTTCTGCATAGAAGGGAAAAGTCACAAGGCCCTCGGGAGACCCTTACAAGATTCTCTTCTGGGATTCCATTTAATATCTCTCATTCCCAAATGTTACAATCCATAAGAGGGAAAAAAAACTGACTTGGGGCAGGACTTCTCATTAAGAGGTATAGCTGCCTCTGAATTATCCATGCTCTTGTAAATCACCTTACTAACTCATTTATTCACTAGGCTGGATTAGACAAATCTTTCTTTGTTGTCTCCATATCTATTCAGGGTGAATATACATTTAATTTGCATATTACCAGAAAAACAACAAAACAAATGGCAACCAAACCAGGACCCAGGAGAACCAAGGATGAATGGGGAGGATCTGCCCACTTATGCCCTCAGCAAACAAATGACCATTTTTAATTTGGGATGTTCCTGTAACACTGTGTTGTTCATGAACAATACAAACTACATACAGACTCAAATTACACTGGCTTTGCTTAAAGAATGAGGTGGGTTCTAAATTTAAGTAAGAGATGGCGATGTATCTTCCTTTTATTTCTAAGTCAGTGCTATGTGGGCCTATATGAAGGAATTAAACTACAGATAGATTCAGATCCTGTGAGAAGGTCCACATCAGTATCCTTCTGCCCAGGGGCAGAAGAGTGAGCAAGAGACAGGGAAAGCATTAACTAATGACTTACAGTATAGACCCTAAGCTAGTCAATAATTAAAATTGAACCAATATATCTCCAGGTTCAAAGAGTTCAGGGGCTTGGTCCTAACACCCATTCTCCCACCCAGGATATACTCAGATGAAGCAAACTATACAAAACAGCCTTTATTTCAAAGGGCCCCATATAGTGACCTGGTAAGTCTTCCATGTCAAGAAGGGTATCAGGTCCTGCTTGGTGGGCACTCTTGGTCTTTCTCCTCATGGACTCCTAGGGGCTTGGGACTGGCCTGTGGGAGGTAAAGGTCCAGGAATATTTCCCTGCTCATGCCATTCCCCCTTCCACCTTTCTGTGCACAAGCTACCATGGATTTACACCTTTGTCTTAGCTATGCCTCCTGCAGTATGAGTACTCTTTCCTACAGTCTATACTCTGGGAATGCCACTATCCTCCTTTCCCTTTGCTCTAGAATGTACCATCCTCTGTGAATTGTCTCCGTCATCTTGCATACTCTGAACTTGAGCAAGGATCTGTAGCCCATGCTTTTCCAGTTCTTCTTTCAGCCTGTTAAGGAAGAGTGAACAAAGAGAAGGGATGCAGGCAAACTGGGGAAGAATGAAAAGGCACATTGTAGAACAAGGGAAGCAGGTGTCATTCATCTTCGTGAGAGGAATGAGGACACAGGAGCTCCACGCCTACCTCTGTCATTTCTGTTGCAGCTGTAGGCACCTCTGCTGCAGCTGCTGGTGGTGCTGAGCTGCAGCCTCTAGGAGCTCCTCAGCTTTCTTGTTCTCCTCCTTGAATAGCTGCCTGGAAGTGGGGGGAAGATTCAGTGCTGGGTATTTCCTCTTCCTGCCCCACCCCGCATCTTACAATGCTGTAGCTGCCTCATGGCTTCGGAGGAAGAGCCCCTCGGTGAGGGTGGAAGGCCCCTCAGGCCCACACAGGGCATACAGCCGATGTTTCACATCCTCCAGCTTTACCTCCATCAGTTTCTCTGCAGAGAGAAAGAGTAATGAGCTGGTGAGGGTAGGCTGGAGCAGTTGA